GTTGGTAAGGTTTTTAAAGCAAAGATGAATTATTAGAAAATGTGTCGATATCACAAAAAGTGTTTCAACATTTACAGGACTTACAAAAACTTACAGATTCTAAAATATTAATAATGTCTTTCAAAATTACAAAACTTGAGTACTATTTTATTATGTATATAGGTGACCTTTAATGCCAACAACTTGTTAGTTGTTATTTATAAAATATTAAATACAATTTTTAAGAATATTGTCTTGTTCAGGCTTATTCTGTTAATAATAAACACTTATTATATCAAATGAATTAAACATTTTTGAAAATATATTTTTTAAGTAGGTATGTACCTATCTATAATAATATATAGTTTTAGAAAACTAAATTTATTAAAAAAATATGTTTTTTAATATAATCATTTTTTATACGTGTTATAAATAAGATTAACTTAATATGGATATACAATTATTTAATTAAAATTGATCACACGTGTATACAAAAAAATATTCAAAAAGTAACCAATAATAAATAATTATTAATGGTTTTATGAATTTTATAATGAATTGTAAAAATGTATTATTTATTAAAATTTGAATGGCTCTCATTCAGTCAATTTTGGTTTTAGAGCCTTGGTTAATTGGTCAAAATGACTTAAAAAAATTCAGTCTATCCGAATTTTGATATCAAAAATACTGGTTGCCATTAAAAAAAATAAGTTGCGTTGCGCATGCGCGTACTGAGAGGGTTTAAAATTTGAAATATATCTGAAAATGTGTATTTATGTATCACTAGCTCTTAAAAAGAATTCAATTTGTTCCAACATAATCCGGCTGATTTATTCAGTGTTCCCTAAATTGGTGAACACGCGGTATATTATATAATGTTTTATATCATTAACCTAATAAAGGTTTATTATATTATTATATTTTATAATGCCTATTATATTAACATGTATTATTGTTATTAATTTACGTTAATTTATAATATGTCATAACGACGTATTTTAGAGTGATGTGAATTGTGAAAATCGTGAAAATTCTCAGTATCAACTTTTAGGAAAAAAAATATTAACAACTCTAATAATATTGTTAAAATAATTTTTGGTGACCTCGATTAGGATAGCATTAAAAAAATAGACGTCTTCGCTCACAGTCGTTTTACATCGTAAACAATTATAGAATTTGAATTAACACATGYACATCCATATTCGTAGTACCTAGCATACCAATAACAAGGTACACTAGACTCYTACTATACAATAGAACATAGACGTAATTTGTGTTTTAATAATATGAAGGAGCCTATTATAATTTACATGTGTGTAAAAGATAGATAAAATGTAGAATTTTGGGGGGTTAGCCAGAGTGGTTACACTTTCCCCCCTTTTTTTAATTTGATATAATTTAGCTTGAAATGTCTATTAATTAAATTTGGGCATATTACTTTTTCAATAATTTTATATTACTGAAAAAACAAACTATGAGAAACTTTTTAATATTTAAACCTTGTAGCTATTCTAAATTGAAAATTGACCAAATTTTTAATCAGGTTTAAAATAATTTAGAAATGTTTGTAAATTGACAAATTTTCTCTAAATTTGAGCTTCAAACGCAAAAAAATTGTTTTTACAATGTTTGCTTTAAGTTTAACTTATGAAGAACTTTGTATTATATTTGTTAACCTTTTTACAGAGCATAAAACATTGTATCAACTATTTAGAAAACATTTAAAAATAAGTTGAATATTTCAAATGTCTATAAATAGCTCAAAAAGAAACGTAATATTTTACTAAACTAGGTCTAGAAAAGTAGAAAATGATAATATGAGTATTCGCTGAAAATTTTAAAGGCTTAAAATTTTTTGAATTGCATCAATATAACACAGTTGATTTTGTCAAAAAGGGTTTACTTAAATATTATATACTACCGTCTTCCATATATTTTTTTAAAGGTTTTCATGATTATTAAGATAAGTTAGGACATATTTTACTTTTGACCTACCTACCAAAGTAACTAGAGACCATTTTAAAGATCAAAGCATAWAATATGTCTTCACATATAAAAAATAATCCAAAACCTGATTAGAGTATATATCGATTTATTGAAGTTCATACTTTGTAATATACTCCAAATATAATAGGTAGGTACTATAGTAGATTACTGACTATTTTATTTCGAAAGAGAACCCTGAAGGGACTGTCTAATAACTAAATTCTAATAAAACTATAATAATTTTGAGAAGTATTTTGAGCTATGAATTATTGGTTATTAAACAATTAGATAATAATTAGATCACGTCGTAATACATGGTTTTCTTTTCTATATTTATATTTTTATAATTATTAAGTGTAAACTATCCGTATTCAAAATCGCTAAAGAATACTTTTGTCTAACTCCATATGTTTCCATACAAAATTAGACTTTTTTTATCTATAGACACCTGCTATCCAAAATAATTCTGAAGTTAGAAAATACAATTTTCATTCAGAACTGTTGTAAACTTTCCCTACTTCATAGACACATTGATGACTAACTATAATTTTTTTTTTAAACATTTATTAGAAAATATACAATATACCTTACAATATACAATCACAAATTTTGAACAGAAGTCAGATCTTGACAAAAAAAAAAAAAAAAAAAACATCAAGACTTCGTAAGAAAATAGTAGTGTATTTTATATTTCTTTACGGCGTTATTGTACCTATTATTTTAACAGGATTCTTTGAACAATACAAATTAGTACATAATGAAAAACAAACAATTAAAATGCAGTATTATTCTAGTAATGAAACAGTGAACATTACTTTTATTGATTTTTTTTCGCTATTCATTTTATTTCAGTGATAAATCGAAAATCCAAATTATTAAGATATTTATACTTAGTATAATACATTTACCAATTGTATCGCAATTATTTTTTAGTTCGATCGCTTTTTTTAAAAGAAAGAGAAATCTTATAATCATTTAATAAGTTTATTTTAAATTATTTATGTTTAAGTTCAAATTTCATTCAATAGAGAACATTTGGAGCATTTGTATTAGTTGCCCCAACAACTAACAAGTGTTWTTCGCGAAAAAAAAATTTTAAATCAATATTTCTACAGTTTTTCTCATTGACAGTCCAAATCAAAATCTAAAATAATCCATATTAAATTTCGTAGGTAATTCAAACCGRAAATTATTAAAATTACATTACATTAACCAACAAATGAAATATAAGATATAGAGGCTGCCTATTGCAGAATTCAGGGAGGTAAAAGCATTTTCCTCGTTAYAGTAAGAAAGGGTTTTATGATTAATAATCGCGATTGTAATATTGCAAAAACGATTTTGAATAAAGCACAAATATTTAAACAAAAACAATATATGTTTGTAATCTTTTAAATTWAAAATATAAATACAAAACTATTATACTTTTTAGTTAATAAGTGAATAAAATCCCTGTAGGTAGACTGGTGTATTAGTAATTTTTAAGTTAAATTAAATCATTAAATGTGTATTAAAATGTAAATAATAGATAAATAAGTTGGTAAATATACCAAATAATATTATGTTAATTCAAATATTATCCAATAGCAATTTAATTTTAAAAAAGGTAGAAATTATAGAAAAAAATTAATTTTTTAATATAAAAATGTTATATTAAGCATTAATTAATCAAAATTATTGCTATTAGGACATTAGGCATAGATATTATTCTGGGTATATATTTCTATTATTGGATATTTTTAACGATTTGTATAATATTTTGAGCCAACATTAAATGTTTTATTACTCAAAAATATAAGGTTTGAGAATTGAAACACGTCATGGATATTAAAAGCTATGAATAAAGTTTTGAGTTTTATAACTAATGGTGTTTTATACTAATACAGTAATACCATTATCGAGTTCGGGATACGACTCTACAGATAGTCTAGTTCTAACTATATTTGTTTGAATCTAAAGTTGCATTAAAACGCTATTTTCAGGAAATTCATGTTGAACTTTACAAGAGTTTATAATAGGTAAACAAATCAAAAATTTAACATTAAAAAGATTTGTAAAAAATTCATTTTAATAAAAAAATAAAATTTATAAATTGATTCAACTGTCACACTTACCTAGGATATGGCATGAAATGTAAGTGTGATTACAGCCAATGTAAATTTTAAAGCGCTGTGTTGAATGACAATTGTATATTATATCATTATCTTGATTTTTCTTTATTCATATTTTGTTGGTATACATGGATACATGGTGGTATCAATAAATGCACAGATATTTAGTGTGCAATGTAGGGTCTAATTTTTTGGCAAAGAGGAGAGTATAAAAATTCAAGATCATTGATTATATATAATATGGTCAGAGTAATTATCGCAACACAAGCTGTGAGTTGAATGATTTATTATATTTGTTTGTTCTTTAATCAGCATTTTTAATAAATAATTATTTGATGAAAAAATAAAATAGGTGGTGCAAATACTGCTCCTTAGAATATCGAAAAACATATCTATATCTGACTATAAACTTTATCATCGAAAGTTTCGACTAAATATAAAATAACATTTTTGATGGTAAATACCATAATTTAAATTTGACAAAAATATTTTTTCAAATGCGAAAATTTAAATTAAATTAAACTATAACTCAAGAAAACTTCTTGGTACATGTTATATTTTAATCTAAAATCGTTTTTATACCTAATACAACTGTATGAATGAAAATACTATACCAAAAAGCTGAAACTAGGTTCACGGTACAACAAATATAAACCAAAGCACAGCATTTATATAGCAGGTAAATACTCAAAAAAGTTAATTGATTATACACCTACCTAAGTAATAAACGCGACTGGACTACGTACCTATTCAACATACCCAACAGCCGAGCACGGCATTATAAATTTAGTCAACACATTCATATTTGACACGATAAAATCAACGTTTTTTTTAAAAATATTATTGTTGTTGTATTTTTTTTTAACTAATAAACAATACACAAAGTGTACAACAATTAAATACAAATTTACATTTTAGACTTACCGAGGTTTTCATTATCCGGTGACACGTTTAGACGAATATTATCAGCATAGAGGACGACAGTTGGTTTGTAAGTAGGTACTTATGTCCATGTGCCTTTAGTATGTAATAAATTTGATGGTTTTACACGAGCACCGGTAAGACAGGACCCTCAAAAACGGATAAATAAAYCGCTTGAATTTTGAGGAAGAATAATATAATATGAAAAAAACTAAAACGATTACATTTATCACAAAGGGCGTCGGTTGAAACTTTGGCGCGCGCGAACTTACGACGCGGCACGTTCATTCGACGAATTCGCGGCGGCAGACACACACTAACACATATACCATTGACACATGCGGTCGCGAAACGCGTACTCGGAGAGACTCGCTTACACGACACACGCGATCGTCCGTCGGGTGGTCACCGGTGATCTGCCGCGCGGTCACGTAACGCGCGTCGTTCACATGTACGATATTGTATTGTAATAGCGGTCGYGCCGGCCGGCGACGACGGCTTCCGTGGAACAGCGGACCGCCCGCGAGTCCGATTGTGGCGCACCCGCGGCGGCGGCGCAAAGCTCGCATCGCGGACGCCAACTCCCGCCCCGCCGGCCTGACGGGCGACGGCCCGCGAGATACTCCGGGCAGGCTGATCGCGACACCAAAATTAGCGGGAAATTCTGGACCCCCTCCGCATTAGGCCCACGGTCAGGGTCACCTCCGTCGTTGCCATTATATTACTAAAATAATCAGGGGAGGGAGKGATGGCAGAAGGACTGAATATCTCAACACAATGTTCAGATACTTTAGATATTTTAGAGTATACTTTTTTCCTCAAATTAGAACATATTATGTTACATTATTTAGGATTTTTATTATAAAATTATAAAGTTAATACTAACAAAAAAAAAAAAAAAAAAAAAATGATAATTATGCAGTAATTACGTACAATATTGGGTATAACCTAAAAACGATAAATAGCCAGCGTTGTAGATAGATCTAAGACCTTTTAACTTTTAAGCACGAATGTTAAAAGACAAGAAAACTCAGAATATTTGTCCTTAAAAACAAAATGACAATATATTAAATTATAAGTTATAAATGAAAAACATCAATACAARGAGAGTTTATCAAATTTAGATAAATATAATTGCTTGTTTATAATGTAAAATTCACTTATTTATTTCATTCGATTGAAAGACTGTTAAACTGTACGTTTAGCTTAGTTCTTAAATGTTCCTTGATATTCCTAATTAGGATTCGGTGGTCATTTTAAACATAATGGAAAAAAAAATATACCTACCTAGTACCTGCATAATATATTAATATTACTAATATTAGATAAATAATATAATAATGACCTGTAACGTTGAGTCTTACTTCTAACAAAAAAAAAAAAAATATATATATACGCATAATAATCAATTATATATTTTTATTTTGTAGATATAAACGTCAATTGGTTTTTTACATACTCCACGAATTATTAAATAATATACGATATAGGCATATGAAAGCCTAATGGCGTAGACATGATTTCTGAAAAGAGGGATCAAAAAAAAAAAAACTGACATTACTTTATAGGAGGGGAAAATTGTAAAATCCTTCCCCCCCCTCAAGACCAGTATTTAGCGAGATTAGCGAGATATTCGTGTGTAAATATTTTCTCAAATTGTAAATAATTAAATATGGAGAATCGATGTGTACCTTACCCCGGAATTACAAATTCTGACGATCCCCGTTTATATAAAAATCCATTAAAAATTCTCCCATGGCTAGATACCCCCGACTTTAAAATAAGGCCTAAACATTGTTATTATCATTTATTTTATAATTTACTATTTTTATTTCAGTATAATATGTATTATATTCATTAAATGTTGGACAAACCCCCGAGAAGTCGCACCTAAAATACGCCTCTGGTTGTGATCTATAAGCAGTATAAGCTATGGTAATTTCATGTATAAGGATCAAAAACCCTGTTCCCCGAGGCCTGTAGTCACTGAACGGACGTATTGAGTTTCACAGATTACGTGCAGTAGAATCGCCCAGTGGCCAGTAGTAAGGCAAATTTCACTTTTATAAATTAATTAAAAATCGTAGAACAACGCTATCGACTTGACGCCTTCATAGTTAGATTCAGCATGTTGTGGGCTATCAGAACTAATAATTTTGTTTTATGTTTAACACTTGAGAAGTCTGTAGTACAATAGAAGACGGCATTTTTTGATTGAGTACTTTTTTTCCAATGAAAACCTCTGCGGAGACCGAATTAGCAAAAAATCTCTACAGTTGAATTAATCCGATTTCCGCCCTTGATGTCAATCATTATAATATTATAAATTATGATATTACTCTCGTCGCGGCCATTGTTTCGAACGAGCGCTGCAACGATTATCGTAACACCACACAGGAGGGCCCAATTATTGTCAATAATAATAATAATATATTATTGTATTATTATGGATACGTCATGAAGATCGTTCGATTAAGGAGTCTTTTCTCTCGAAATTCAATTATTTAAATTACACTATTTATTATATGTGTTCAGACCTCAGAGAAAACAATATAATTTTATCTATATGACTATATCGTAGTATAGCATGAATATTGTAAACGTATATTATAGAACTCAGTCGACCATCAATATCATACATAAAGCATGTTGAAATGTTGTTGTTGTATTCGTTTTTTTATTTTTTCACTCCTCTTTGACTTTGAACGCAATTGTTGAGAATGTGGTTAATATTATGTGGTTCGAAACTATTTAATTTAAACCTTTTTAGTTTGTAAATGAAAAAGCGACGATGGGGTTAGTTGTTTTAAGACGCATTTATCGAACGAGTGTTGGCAAAGGTCGAATTTTTTAAATTCTCTCATCTAAAGAGAAATATTTATCTATATTTTTTATAAATTTATTTGATCATACCTATATCGATTAAATCTATATAAGAAACATAAGAATTTTTAATATCCATTTTGTTATTTATCTAGATTTCAAAGTGATAGATGTGCTTGTATAGGCTATATAGATCGCTGCACCATTATTAATAATTTTAAAGTAGTAAGAGTGTTAAAAACTCCATCACCAAACCATTTTATATTATTAAATCATTGTAAAACACTCCGTAATCCGTATATATAAAATAGCATATAATATAAATTAACTTTGATAATATTAATATTACCTATACGATTGGTATAGTAAGTAATGAATAATGATAAACAACTATAATACTATATAATATCTTATATATTTAAAAAAAATGTTATTCTATATTTTTTTGTAATTTATGTTCGGTTTATAAAAACAAAATTAAATAATTAAAAAGTAAAATACGCTTTAATTTAGTAAATTTTTATATAATATATACTATACAGTGTAAAAGTACTATTTAACAAATTTAGTAATATTTGTAATGGAAATATTTTATTAAATAGTCCTGTTACACCTTATATAATATAATAAGGAAGCGATTTACTTTATAATGGTTACTTTGACTACAATTATAATCTATTGATTAGTAATTAACTATACCTACAATTATTAATTATTTTACTATGTATTGAAATATTCTAAATTTTAGTTTTGGATCCCATTAATTTTATAAAAAACCATATAATACCCGGATTATAAATATTACAATGATTATTTTGAAAACACCTCCATTACCTACTAGTAAAGAATATAACTAAAAATATTCTTTATGTCATAGCTACTATATGGCTACTAGTTGCGTCCCGCGGTAAAAATTTCTTCCGAATTGCGGCACGAGTTTTTTTGGGATGCATACGAATTGCGGCCCGAGTTTTTTTGAGTTACATATGAATTGCGTCTCGGAATTTAAAATTAAATTAATTATATGTATATAATTATATTTTATTATGTTATAATATGTGTGCATTTATGCATTAATTTTCATTCAAATATTTGATGTAAAATTATTGATTATTTTTCGATTTTAACACGATGACTGCCACGAGTCCGTCGGTAATCTAAGACAGGTAAGATGGGTAAGACGGGTAAGACGGGTATGTTGAAGTGGAGGCATTTAGGTTGGCTGCGTACGAGGGTATTCCTTGGTCATCAACAAGGTATGTACAAGTTGATTCCCGGGTCATTACATATTTTTTTCTATGTTTAGTAAAATATTTAGCCTATTAGCATAACCCAAGAAACACCACAAGGAGATTGGCTGACAAGTTTCTCAAAAAATTTTTTTTTAGTTTTTTCATAGTATCATTCAATTTTTATTTATTAATTATTTTTTGTATTATATTATATTTATTATTTATTAAAACATTTAGTAATAAGGTAAAAAAATATTTAAAAAATTAGTAATTTGGTAAAAATGTATAACACATTGTTTTTATAAGTTGGTATCTGGTAATGAGATTATACAACAATAGTGAATCAACTCATACATACCTCTTAATGACCCAGGAATCAATTCGTACATACTTAAAAATGACCCGGGAATCAACTAATACATAAAATAGGTCTTGGAAATCAACTCACCTATCGCGTTTAGGTTACCAGTGACCTGAACCGAATTATTCTCCAGCGGCCGCTTAGATCACCAGCGGTTAAAACTTCTCATTTTATTTAATATACTTCATAATGACACCATGGCGTATATGAAAAAAAAAAAAACCCCAGTTAATTCTTTATTTTTAAACACATTTTAAGAATACATGAGTATTTACCTATCTATTATACATAAAAACCTATAGAATTCAATTCAAATCTCATACAACAATCATCAGTCTCCATCCCCTCTCGCAATAACATTATTTTGGTGTAGCTATATACTTTAGGATCAGTGTAGGACTCTAAGGATGATAACCACSGTTGGAACTTATTTATTCATGGACATTAACGATTATAAATTATTAGAGTTATATATTATGTTAATTAAATTACAATTAAACCCTAATTGTACATCCAATTATCAAGAATAATTTATTTTAGAAATACAGTCTAAACAAACAGCATTTAAATAAATACTCATACATTATTATGATCTAAGCTTGTTTTCTAATAGCCAGGTACGAGGTACCTTCCTAAAGTTGTACTTAATAAACATTGAATTTATTTACATTTAATTAGTTCTATATAATACATAACTATTACATTATGTATTTATTGATTTATATTACTAGCTGAGATTTAGTAAACAACAAAAAGTAGAATTTGCTTCATGCTACATGATATTATAGTTTGATCGCATAAAGTGACGGGTTATACAAAATTATACACACAAATAATAACATATGAAATCCCGGAAAATTCAACTGGATCTTAAGATTTTCTGCGTGTTAACCATTTACACTGTATTTTTCTTAGTTAAATTTTTTTTCATAACATAATTTAACAATATGAAAAAAAAAAATATTTTTACGAAAGATGTTTAAACACATTGTGTTTTTTTGCAGTGAGTCTTTAAAAAAAAAAATACCTTCTATATTTGCTAAGGAAGTTACACGATTGTTAATTTTTTTTGCATTTTTTGTAAAATCGTTTTGTGTTTTTTTAAATATATAAAAAGGTGAAAATAATGCGCGATCGTATGTGTTACATTCTGGTAAAAAATCGAAAAGTGCGAAATTACAGTTGAGTTCCGTGTACCAAAATATGATCCTACACGCACCTAATTCAGTCTTAAAAATAACCTAATTAAGCCCGAAAAATAACCTAATTGAGCAGAAAAAAAAAATTTTCATCCTCATTTTACAAACCTAGGACTATCAGTATCCAATAATAATATTAAATATTTTAATTATAGTATCAATCTCAAAATAATATTATAATATTACAATTATTATCAAATGTCACCACTTAGTATCTATCGACGATTGACTTTACCTATTAGACTATACCACTATTTAAATTTATATGAAAATAAAGTCATCTTACCCTTTTATGAAGTCGTATATATTTCATGTCATTAAAGTAATAAATAACGTATAGGTAGATAAGATTTCAATAGGAAAATCAAATATCAACTAGCTGTTTTATCCTACGAAATTTTGACCATAAATATATAATTCCAAATCTAGGACTGAGCTGTGTAATGTAACTCCTTCTGCATGATTTCCAACCATAATACTTTTTATATAGGTACAATTTACATGTAAATACTATCTGTATATATAACACAGTAAGCTGATTGACTGCTATCAACGCACAGCTCWAACCATTGGAAGGATCTGGCTGAAATTTGGCATACAGATAGCTATGATTTAGACGTGCACTAAAAAAGGATTTTTCGAAATTTTGAATTTAAAGGGTTGAAATCGGTAAAAGAAAATTTTTACATGTAATTTGTATATCTATATCAAGAGACGTTCAACCGATGACGGTGGATTTTCCGTCAATATCAAAGACGTAGATATAGATAATCGTTGGATAGTTCCTTATAATCCAGTACTGTTAAGAGCATGTAACACTCACGTCAATGTGGAATATTGCAGTTCGGTGAAGTCTATAAAATATGTGTGCAAATACGTAAATAAGGGCTCTGACCAGGCCTTAGAAAATGAGAAAGACGAAATAAAAACTTACGAAACTGGACGATATATAAGTTCATCAGAAGCCGTGTGGCGAATCCTTGAATTTCCAATTCACGAGCGTTTCCCTACCGTTATTCACCTTGCTGTTCATTTAGAAAATGGACAAAAGGTTTACTTTAATGAACAAAATCTACATGACAGAGTGAATAGTCCTCCTACAACTAAACTTCTCTAATTTTTTGATTTGTGTAAAGTGTATGACTTTGCAAAAAATTTGCTTTACCCAGAAGTACCTGCATATTACGTTTGGGACGAAAAAAAGTTCCAAAGAAGGAAGAGAGGAGTAAACGTTGTTGGCTGGCCAGATATCAAAAGAGAGCACGCTCTGGGTAGAGTTTATACGGTTCATCCGAACAATACAGAATGTTATCACCTTCGTATGCTTCTCCATGAAATCCGGGGCCCGATTTCGTTTGAAGCGTTGAAAACTGTAAATGGTCAAGTACATCCCACTTTTAAATCCACGTGTAAGGCTCTAGGGTTACTTGAAGATGATGAACATTTGTACGCAGCACTAGAAGAGGCAGCACTTTGCCAATCTCCGCATATGATACGGGATCTATTTACGATTATATATTAGTGTTTTGCCAAGTAACAGATCCCTTATGTCTTTGGGACAAATTCAAAGAATACCTATCTGAAGATTTTAAAATACGATTAGAACGACAGGATTCCGTGGATGCAGAACACTTAGTGGACGTAGTGTTGAACAAATGCTTATCGGTAATAGAAGATGCCGTGTTAGCATTAGGTGGTCAGCCACTTAAAGAATATGGCTTACCTCAG